ATATTTTTTGATGATTTCGAAATCATCAAAGGGCGGTTATTACCTATACCTGACCACTGTGGACCTGGTCTCACCTTCCTCTGTATATATGTAACTTGTTTTGTACTTCTCCTTAGTCTGTACTCACCCCTGAACAGGCCGTCCTTTATGGGGCGAACAGGGTTGCCCAGGCACCTGCGGGCCCAGCTCTGACCCAGTGACCTCGGACACATTACCTGTTGACTGGTTAATCTGACCTGACGGCTTACGCCACCATCGCAACGGTGACCTTACCATCCATAGCGGCAGTCCCATGGGGGTTGGTGGGGGTGGGTTCCTGACTGCATAATCTGGGGCCCCGCAGTGGCTGAGTTGCCCAGGCCCCGCACACTCAGGGACGGCCCTGCCCCTGAAGATGAATTACACAGCGCTTGGGAATTTCGTGTTGTCTTTTTCTTGTATCAGCATATATATATATATATATATATATATATATATATATATATATATATATATATATATATATATATATATATATATATATATTAGCCTCCCTCGGTCTGTCTCTCACTTCCAATCAGCCCCCCCATGGCTCTCCCTCACCACCACCTTTAACATCCAATATTTGCTCTCAGGCTGGCCAACTACGTGCAAGATCCCGGCGGCAGCTCCCCAGAGACACCGCGCCTCCACACCCCAGCAAGTCACTCATAGCCTTTGAAGATCCTTGTTAGAACACCACTGAGCTAATAAAGACGCCTCCAGGAAGACGGTTTGGAGATAATACGGACGTCCCAGGATCTCATCAGACGCTATTGTAAGACACCCAGAAGCCCAGTAGGACGCCACACGGCCTCTGAGAACTTCTTACGACTCAGCACCTCAGGATAAGTGAGAACATCCCCGACGGACACCAGGATGAGGCAGACGGTGGTGATGGTGGCAGCGATGTGGGTGGTCATGGTGGCAGCCACTGTACCCAGACCCATCACTGAGTGTCAGGTGAGTCACGGTGACCGCCCACACACACACACACACACACACACACACACACACACACACACACACACACACACACACACACACACACACAGTCACGTGCGTCTATGTGTTACCTCATCTTAACATACATTACTCTACAGTATAACACTTATGCATCCTTCAGTGTTTTGTTATTGGAGTGAGAGATTAAACATCAAACACACCGCCCTCCCTACACCTCTCCCTCCCTACACCCCTCCTCCCTACACCTCCTCCCTACACCCTCCTCCCTACACCTCTCTCCTCCCACACCCCTCCTCCCTACACCCCTCCTCCCTACACCCCTCCTCTACACCCATCCTCCCTACACCCCTTCTCTCTACACTCCTCCTCCCTACACCCTCCTCCCTACACCCCTCCTCCCTACACCTTCTTCTCTACACTCCTCCTCCCTACACCCCTCCCTCCCTACACACCTCCTTCTCCTACACTCCTCCCTCCCTACACCCCTCCTCCCTACACCCCTCCTCCCTACACCCCTTCTCTCTACACTCCCTCCTCCCTACACCCTCCTCCCTACACACCCCTTCTCTCTACACTCCTCCTCCCTACCCCCTCCTCCCTACACCCCCTCCTCCCTACACCCCTTCTCTACACTCCTCCTCCCTACACCCCTCCTCCCTACACCCCTCCTACACCTCCTCCCTACACCCCTCCTCCTCCCTACACCCCTCCTCCCTACACCCCTCCTCCCTACACCCCTCCTCCCCTACACCCCTCCTCTCTACACCCCTCCTCCCTCCCCTCCTCCCTACACCCCTCCTCCCAACACCCTTTCTACACTCCTCCTCCCTACACCCCTCCTCCCTACACCTCCTCCAACACCCTTCTCTCTACACCCCTCCTCTCTACACCCCTCCTCCTACACCCCTCCTCCTACACCACTCCACCTACACCCTTCTCTACACTCCTCCTCCCTACACCTCCTCCCTACACCCCTCCTCCCTACACCCCTCCTCTACACCTCCTCCCTACACCCCTCCTCCCTACACCCCTCCTCCTACACCCCTCCTCCCTACACCCCTCTCCTACACCCCTTCTCTCTACACTCCTCCTCCTACCTCCTCCCTACACCTTCTCTCTACACTCCCCTCCTACACCCTCCTCCCTACACCTCCTCCTACACCCTCCTCCTACACCCCTCCTCTCCTCACCCCTCCTCTACACCCCTCCTCCTACACCCCTCCTCCTACCCCTCCCTCCCAACACCCCTTCTCCTCTACACTCCTCCTCCTACCTCTCCTACACCCCTCCTCCCTACACCCTTCTCTCTACACTCCTCCTCCCTACACCCCTCCTCCCTACACCTCTCCTTCCCACCTCCTCCTCCCACCCCTCCTCCTACACCCCTCCTCCCACCCCTTCTCTCTCCTCCTCCTCCTACACCTCCTCCTACACCTTCTCTCTACCTCCTCCTCCTACACCCCTCCTCCCTACACCCCTCCTCTCTACACCCTCACTCCTACACCCCTCCTCCCTACACCCCTCCTCCTACCCCCCTCCCAACACCCCTTCTCTCTACACTCCTCCTCCTACACCCCTCCTCTCCTGCCTCCTCCCCACCCCTTCTCTCTCCTCCTCCTACACCCCTCCTCCCTACACCCCTCCTCCTACACCCCTCCTCCTACACCTCCTCCCTACACCCCTCCTCCCTACACCCCTCCCTCCCAGCACCCCTTCTCTCTACCTCCTCCTCCTACACCCCTCCTCCTACACCCCTCCTCCCTACACCTCCTCCTACACCCCTCATCCCTACACCTCCTCCCTACACTCCTCCTCCTACACCCCTCCTCCTTACACCCCTCCTCCCTACACCCCTCCTCCACCTCCTCCTACACCCCTCCTCCTACCCTCCTCTCTACACTCCTCCCTACACCCCTCCTCCCACCCCTCCTCCCAACACCTTCTCTCTACACTCCTCCTCCTACACCTCCTCCTACACCTCTCCTACCTCCTCCTCCCTACACCCCTCCTCCACCCCTCCTCCCTACACCTCCTCCTACACCCCTCCTCTACCTCCTCCTCCTACACCTCCTCCTCCTTCTCCCTACACCCCTCCTCCCTACACCCTCCTCCTACACCCCTCCTCCCTACACCCCTCCTCCCTACACCCCTCCTCCTCACCCCTCCTCCCTACACCCTTCTCTCTACCTCCTCCTACACCCCTCCCTCCCTACACCTCCTCCCACCCCTCTCTACCTCCTCCTCCTACACCCCTCCTCCCTACCTCCTCCTACACTCCTCCTCCACCCCTCCTCTACCCCTCCTCCTACACCCCTCCTCCCTACACCCCTCCTCCCTACACTCCTCCTCCCTACACCCCTCCTCCCTACACCTCCTCCCTACACCCCTCCTCCTACACCCTCCTCCTACACCTCCTCCTACACTCCTCCTCCCTACACCCCTCCTACACCCCTCCTCCTACCCCTTCTCTCTACACTCCTCCCTACACCCCTCCTCCCTACCCACCCCTTCTCCCTACACTCCTCCTCCTACACCCCTCCTCCTACACCCTCCTCCTACACTCTCTCCTCACCTCTCCTACACCCCTCCTCCTACACCCCTCCTCCTACCCCTCCTCCTACACTCCTCCTCCCTACACCCCTCCTCCCTACACCTCTCCCTACACACCCCTCCTCCCTACACCCCTCCTCCCTCCACCCTCTCCCTACCCCCTCCTCCACCCCTACCTCCCACCCCTCCTCCACCTCCCTGCCACACCCTCCTCCACCCTAAACCCTCCTCCCTGACACACCCTCCTCCACCTACACCCTCCTCCACCCCTACACCCCTCCTCCACCCCACACCCTCCTCCACCCTACTACACCCTCCACCCCAACCTCCTCCACCCTACAACACCCCTCCTCCCACCCCTGCCACACCCTCCTCCACCTACCACACCCTCCTCACCCCTACCACCTCCTCCACCCTAAACCCTCCTCCACCCTACACCCTCCCACCTAAACTCTCCTCCACCTAAACCCTCCTCCACCCTACCACACCCTCCCCACCCTACACCCTGCTACCCTGCCACACCCTATACCACCCCACACCCTCCTCCCACCCTACACCCCTCCCCCACCTACACCCTCCCCACCCTGCCACCCTCCTCCCACCCTACACCCTCCTCCACCCTCCTCCACCCTATACCTCCCACCCCTGCCACACCTCCTCCACCTACACCCTCCTCCACCCCTACACCCTCCTACACCCTCCTCCCACCTACACCCTCCTCCACCCTACACCCTCCCCACCCCTCCTCCACCCTACACCCTCCCCCACCCTACACCCCTCCCCACCTCCACACCCTCCTCCACCCCTCCACACCTCCTCCACCCTACACCCCCTACCCTACACCCTCCTCCCACCCTACACCCTCCTCCACCCCTACACCCTCCCCTCCTCACCCTCCCCCACCCTGCCACTCCTCCACCCTACACCTCCCCCCTGCCACACCCTCCCCCCCCTGCCACACCCTTCTCCACCCCCTCCTCCCACCTCACCCTCCTCCCTACACCTCCTCCCACCTACACCCTCCCCACCCTGCCACCCTCCTCCACCCCACACCCTCTCCCCCCTCCCCCCCACACCCTCCCCACCCTACACCCTCCCCACCCACACCTCCCCACCCTCCTCCCACCCTACCCCTCCCCACCCTGCCACACCTCCTCCACCTACACCTCCCCACCTACACCCTCCTCCACCCTACACCCTCCCCCACCCTACACCCTCCCCACCTGCCACCTCCTCCACCCCTACACCCTCCTCCACCCTACACCCCTCCCCACCCCACACCCTCCTCCACCCTACACCCTCCCCACCCTACACCCTCCCCACCCTCCCCTCCACACCCTCCTCCACCTACACCCTCCCCACCCTACACCCTCCCCACCCTACCTCCCCCACCCTGCCACCCCCTCCTCCCACACCCCTCACCCTCCCCACCCTACACCCTCCCCCCACCCTACACCCTCCTCCACCCTGCCACCTCCTCCACCCTACACCCCTACCCTACACCCTCCTCACCCTACACCCTCCTCCCACCTACACCTCCCCACCTACACCCTCCCCCACCCTCCACCCTCCTCCACCCTACACCCTCCCCACCCCTGCCACCCTCCCCTGCCACCCTCCTCCACCCTACACCCTCCTCCACCCCTACACCCTCCTCCACCCCTACCCTCCCACCTGCCACCCTCCTCCACCCTGCCACCCTCCTCCACCCCTACACCCTCCCCCACCCTGCCACACCCTCCTCCACCCCACACCCCTCCCCACCCTGCCACCTCCTGCACCCTACACCCTCCTCCACCCTACCCTCCCCAACCCCTACCCTCCCCACCCTGCCACCCTCCTCCACCCTACACCTCCCCACCCTACACCCTCCCCCACCCTGCCACACCCTCTAGGCAACATAAGTCACACCACCTATGTTCTACCGCAGAGAGGAAAACAGGTGATCGCGGACAACGACTCCTGCACCCGCTTCCACATCTGCAGGAAGGTGTCCGAGGTGGAGTTTACTACTGACATAGCCGTCTGCCGCACCGGGATGATCTTCGATATGATCACCCTCAAGTGTAAGTGCACAGTCACCCTCAAGTGTTTAGTCACCCTCAAGTGTATAGTCACCCTCAAGTGTTTAGTCACCCTAAAGTGTATAGTCACCCTCAAGTATTAGTGTATAGTCACCCTCAAGTATTAGTGTATAGTCACCCTCAAGTGGTCACCCTCAAGTACAACTGGGGAGACAAATTAGATAGTTTTCTGGGATCTGGGGTGAAGTAGTAGAAGGAAGGGGAGGGCTACCATTAACTTCGTCATCTCCTCCTGCAGGTATCAGGCAAAACGAAGGTTACGTTCAGGACCCCACCAGCTGTGTCAACGTGAGTACCACCTATAACTTGTGTCATATGTCCCCCACACACACACACACACACACACACACACACACACACACACACACACACACACGTCCTGGGTACCTCACAACCTCAATACACAACACTGACGGCCAGAAATAATAACATGTTGTATTTCTCTTGTGATAACCGTTTGTGTTGTAGTTAATGTATTGTGTTATGGGACCATTTAGTGTAATATTGTATTATTATTATTATTATTATTATTATTATTATTATTATCATCACTCCAGTCCTGAACACAAGATAGGAGCTCACTGGGGAAGCAAAATGCGGGAAAATCAACATATTGTCGCATGTCTGTGTGTGTGTGTGGGGGTTCTATGTCTGGGTGGATGTCTGCATAGGTGCCTCGGTGTCTGTGCATCTGGGAGGCTGTGTGTGTGTGTGTGTGTGTGTGTGTGTGTGTGTTGTTATGCCAACTTTGAAGCCTTAAAGAGACTTCTCGTAATTGAATCACTCAGGTTTTATTCTACGACAGCTGGAGCGTAACCTGCTATTTAATAACTCTAACCTTATTTATTATGAAGGGTGGGTTAGGTTAGGTTTGGTTAGGTTAATACTGTGTCTTGGTGAGGATTTGTGTATATTATATAGTAAAGGAACTGGTAGCTTTTATCATAACAACGGTCTCTCATTGGCTGATATGCGAGCCAATGAGAGACTCGTTACAGTCAACCCAAATGTCTGAAAGTTATGTCTTGTGTCATAATTATACGTGAATTGACCAATCAGACGTTGTTGTTCTGCTACTGGATACCTGTTATCTCTCTCTCTCTCTCTCTCTCTCTCTCTCTCTCTAGTTTCACCTTAAAGAGACGTTGGCTCAGTGACACAGTGAGCTAAAGGGAGGGGAGGGACCTGGCCTACTGAACCCAACCCTCGTCCTCCTAATGCACTCCTCAGTAAACTTTGACCTAATACTGAGGGCGTTTACACTCCAATACATACGGTGTGTAAACGTGTAAATGAAGACTTTAGTGGAGTTTTACAGTTTATAAACAACAAATAGAGTACTAAGGGCGTTTACACTCCAACACGCAGGATGTAAACTTGTAAATGACGTCTTTAATAGAGTTTTACAGTTTATAAACAACAAATAGAGTACTAAGGGCGTTTACACTCCAACACGCAGGATGTAAACTTGTAAATGAATACTCGAAAACGGACTTTACACACGATAGCTATACACACATTAGTCATACACACGATAGCAAGTACTGAAGACCATTTACGCCCTAATAAATAACCCGGAAATAAGGGCAGTGTATGAATATTTTATACATATTTACATAATGTGGGGTGGGGTGTTAGGGGTGTAGTGAAGTGGTGGGGGAGTGGGGAGGGTGTAGTGTAGTTTGTGTGGAGAGTGGATGTGAGGGTGTAGCCATAGTGGTGGGTGTGTGAGGTGTAGTCATAGTGGGTGGGTGTGTGCAGGGTGTAGTCATAGTGGTGGGTGTGGAGGGTGTAGTCATAGTGGGTGGAGGGTGATGGGTGGGTGTTGAGGGTGGTGGTTCCCGTGATCATGCTGACACACCTACATTATTCACCAAGCATAATGGCCTCCAGCCCTCCAACACGGCCTCATGGTGATGGCGACACTTACCTCCAGACCGTGAGAGGGAGGGAAGGCGCCAGTGAAGGAAGGAAGGAGGAGGGGGCGTGATGGAAGGAGGGGGAAAGGCGTGAGGGAGGGAAGGAGTGTATCAAGGAAGTAAGGGAAGGAAGAAATGAGTGAGGGAGTGATGGAGGGCAGACAACAACCACCAGAGTCTTGAACATTACATCAGATAGAACCTAACCTAACCGAACCTAACCTAACCGAACCTAACCTAACCTAACCCAACAGAACCTAACCTAACCTAACCGAACCTAACCTAACCGAACCTAACCTAACCTAACCAACCGAACCTAACCCAACCTAACCTAACCTAACCTAACCTAACCTAACCTAACCGAACCTAACCGAACCCAACCTAACCTAACCTCATCCTTCTAATCTCTCTCTCTCATTAAATCCTTGTTTGTGAGGCGTTTGTATGTAGCTCTTGATCTCAACACACACACACACACACACACACACACACACACACACACACACACACACACACACACACACACACGAGTCGTTCCCATAATCGTCGGGTAATGGGACGTTTTGATCCTCGAATGCTTAAAGGGGTCGTGTCCCTGTGTGTGTGTGTGTGTGTGTGTGTGTGTGTGTACAACCTTTACAGTATGGGCCTGAATATCAGTGTTATTAACCAACAAACACGCGCTATACACATTCTACTAAAACAGACAAACAAACACTTTAAAAGGTGTGAACCAAACACCTGAAACATCCCCTTAAGGAACTCAACAAATACAGAAATGATCATCTAAACACAACACACCTCGAGAAAGTCCCTCTCATCACACACACACACACACACACACACACACACACACACACACACACTACTACTACTACTACTACTACTTTGCCGTCACCTAGGTTGGTGAGTTTTGAGGTGACTAAAAAGGCCAATACGGGACCGGCAGAGTCGTTCACAAATGTTGCACATGTGGAGGGCTACATCTAGTGCGGAGGGCACGGCAGCGTCTTTCCGGCGTTGGCGTTTGTCAGCCTCGGTCTACAGTCGGGCGAACTCAAAAGTATTGACACCTTCTTCTGCGGTGTTCCTCCAAGCGTTACAGTGTGAGTAATCGTCTTCCAGGGACTGGTGTCGATTAGACATTTTTTCAGGTTTGTCTTAAGACTATCAAGACTATCCTTATACATTTTCAGTTGCCCGCCGGCATTACGTTTCATGGCCAGTCCAACGTAGTTGTTCAAGGATAACGGTAGCCTCGATGCTCCTACAGTTGGTGTCAGCAAGAATACTGGCATTTGTTCTCTTGTCTTCCCAGCGAACTCGGAGGATGGAACTTAGGCTACGTTGGTGAAAATTTTCAAATGCCTTGAGGTGCCTCCTGTATGTGACCCATGTTTCGCTGCCATATAGCAGGGTGGGGAGGACCAGTGCTCGCTATACGTGCAACTTTATAGATAATTGTCCCTACAGCTGAAGACACGGTTACATGTCAGCAGTGGTGGACAAGTGGGAGCCGAGTTACTGCAAGTGGGTAACATTAAGAGAAGGTAGTACCATTAAGCTGGATGGATGGTGGAGGTGTGTCTGACCCAGGGGCAGGCCGTAAGAGAATCTCAGCCTTACATACATCTCCCTCAAGGCCGAAGTGTGCATAAGTATTCGTAGGTGCTCAGGATCTCCTGTAGGTCATGTTCATTTTAAGTAAAGAGGGTGGGGTCACCTGCATACTGAAGTTCAGTAATGGAAGCTGAGGACACCTATGTTCCTGCCTGGAGTTGTCTTATGTTGAAAAGACCCTTCATCCGGTACTGGATATTCATTCCATCAGCTAAACTGTTACTGGCATGAGTAAGGAAGGTAGCCAAGAAAATGGAAAGGAGAGTTGCTGCCAGTACACATCCTTGTTTTACCCCCTGTTTGGATGGGGAAGAACGCAAATTGGATGCCATTGTGCAGGACACTGCCGTTCATTCCATCGTGGAGTTGCCTCACAATGGCGATGAATTTTGGTGGGCAGCCTGAAACGGCTGAGGGTCCACCAGAGGGCTTCCCTGTTGACCGAATCGAAGGCCTTGGTTAGGTCGATGAAAGCCATGTACAGGTCACGACGCTGTTCTCTGCATCTTTCCTTTATCTGGCGGGCAGCAAAGATCATGTCAGTGGTGCCGCGTGATATTCTAAAGCCACATTGAGATTCTGGAAGGAAGTTTTCCGCCTGAGGAAGAAGTCTGTTTAGGAGGACTCAGGTTATAATCTTGCCAGATACGGACAGTTTCGGTCTCCCTTCTTCTTATAAATATTGAAGATGGAGGCGTCTTTAAGAGTTTGGGGGATTTCCTCTTTCCCATATATTCTCCAGGAGAGAGTGGAGACGGCTGGTAAGCAGAGGTCCATCTGCTTTATACACCTCGGCTGGGATTCCAGCAGGCCCTGAGGCTTTGTAATTCTTCATCTGTTTAATGGCAGTAGTTACCTCATCCAGGGATCGAGGATAGTTGAGGTGGGTCAGCTCTGGATGCTGAGGGACCTGCTGGATAGTCAAGACATACACAACGGTATTTTGATTGAGCAGCGAATGGTAGTGCTCTTTCCAGTGCTGAAGGATGCCTTCTTCGTCTTTAATCAGGAAGTTACCATCGGATGAGCGGAGGGAGGCTGCGCCATCAGTGATTGGCCCATAAAATGTTTTAGTGTACCTGAAAAATTCACGGGTCTTGTGTTGATCTGCAAGGTTTGCATTTCACATGCTTTATTTTTAAACCGATCGTTTTTTAGATTGCGAAGTTCCTGCTGGGCCGCCGCTTTCTTCTTGTGGAAGGTATCAGCTTTGGTCCGAGACTGAGGGTTGTTCTGCCAGTCAGTTAGAGCAACACGTTTATCATCGACGACTACATTGATTTCTGGGTAATTTTCATCAAACCAGTCCTGGTGTATTCCTTTGATCTGGCCGAGGGTCTCTGTAGGTTTTTGTCATGGCAGTATCAAGAATATCCAATCGGCACTGGAATTTGCGTTGTTTGTTGTAGAGTTATTTATCAGCCCATGTTCTAGCTGCTCTCTCAATGTATGTGCTACCACTGGATCTTCATGAAACTTAATTTTGAACCTCTATTGGAGGCTTGTTGCCTTCGCCGTTTTGGGGCGACGTGAAGTGACAGTTTGGCTCTGACGAGACGATGATCAGTGTCACAGTAGCCTGAGCCACACATGGTCTTGGTGATGAGGACAACTCCGTGATCTCTTTCTCTAACAATAATGTAATCAATGAGATGCCAGTGTTTGGATCGTGGGTGTTGCCACGAACCCTTGAACTTGTCGGCCTGCCTAAACAAGGTATTGGTGATAGTGAGGTTGTGTGCAACACAC